TACTTACACTTGCATACTTTCACTTGCAAACTTTCACTTGGATACTTCTGTGCCATTGTAAGTATAGAAGCGCAAGTGTTCAAGTGTAAGTATAGCAGTGTAAGTGTTCAAGTGATTTTCCGGAAGAACCCTTCGCAATGCTTTCGGCAAAAAAAAGGGAAAGGAGAAAAACAAGGAAGGGAGAAAAGGAGGAGAGGAGAAGAAAAGGAAAGGAGAGCAAAGTAGGAAAGGAGAGAAAAGGAAGGGCAAAAAGGGAAGGATAAAAAGGGAAAGGATAAAAGCATGAGCAAAAAAAAGGAAATGATCAAAAAAAGGAGAAAACAAGAAAGGAGAAAAAAAGGAAAGGAGAAAAAGGGAACGTAGAAGAAAAGGAAAGGATAAACAAAAAGGATGAAAAAAGAACGGAAAAAAAGGAAAGGAGAAAACAAGGGAAGGCAAAAAAAGGAAATGCTGATAGAAGACAAGGAAAGGAAAAAATGAAAGGAGAAAACAAAGGCAATGAGAAAAAGGGAAGAGAAAAAAGGAAAGGAAAAACAATGGAAAGGAGAAACAAAAGGAAACGAAGAAACAACAGGAAAGGAAAAAGGGAAGGGAAAAACAGGAGAGGAAACAAAAAGGAGAGGAAAAAACAAAAATAAAAAGGAGACACGAGGAGAGAAAAACAGTAGGACAGAACAAACCATAGAACAAAAGGAAAACAAACTGAAAAAAAACACGAAAGAAACAAGGGGAGAGAAAAGGAACAAAGGAAAAACAAGGAACACATGGAAAAAGGGAAACAATTGATATGAGAAAAGGAGAAAAAAAAAGAGGAAAAGGGGAAAAGGAGAAAAGAAGAAAAGAGGAAAAGGGGAAAAGGAGAAAAGGAAAAAAGAGGAACAGGGGAAAAGGGGAAAAGGGGAAAAGGGGAAAAGGTGAAAAAAGGAAAAGAGGAAACGAGGAAAAGAGGAAAAGAGGAAAAAAAAAGGAAATAAGGCAGGAAGGAAGGAAGGAACGAAAGGAAAACACACAAAATGTGGTCAGTTGCTCCAGCTACGACGCAAGCGTCCAGGGACGCACCGTGAATAGTAGGGTCCTAGGTATTACATCCAGGAAAAAACCGCAAAGAGATAAGAGCAAGGTGCGGGAGCGGGACGGAGAGAGAGAGGGAGAGGGAGAGAAAGGGAGGTAGAATAGGTGCCAGGACAGGTCCTAGCGGAATCGACTAAGAGCGAACACGTCAAAGCAAAAATTTAACACTGAGAAGGGAATGACAAACTTTGTGATTGTTTTTCACAATCAATCTGGCTGACAAGAAGGACCTTAGAACCCAACTTGTGAAGGAAACCTTTGTGGGTGGACAAGCGTAGTGGTTCAAATTTTGCCAAAAAATTTCAAAAACACACATTCAACATCGGTCCTTAGGACCTTTCTTTCTTTACTCTTAACACTGGGCCTCCCAAAATTCCGGGGTTCCAAAACAAAGGCGTGTTGCAACTCACCTCCGTGACATGACACACATGTTCTCCAAACATCTTGCATGCAGGGTTTGGAGTTGCTTTGTTGCCTCTGGTCAAGTTGGTTTTGATGCCGTTTAGTTTGCGTTTGCTCATTGCACCTTCAAAGTGCATTTAGAAGACATTGGAAGTTGGTCCAGCCAGGCAGATTTGTTTTGGAATGGGAATACCTTGGTAACCGTGAAACAGCAACTTGCCCTTTTTCTCCTAGTCACAGTTGTTTGGTTCCGTTAGCGGACAAACAAAGGCTACTGCTCTTAATGACAGCCTCGCTATGCCATGGCCTTTCTGCTTTTCGGCCTGCTTCTGCAGCCAGGGACACTGGAGCGAAATGGCATGCGACCCGTCACCATCAGATCCAAAAAGAAACACGGCAGAAGAAGCAGGCAGGAACTAAAATATTAACATGGCACAGTCTCGATTGGTGCAAAATACATTTTGCAATTATTTGATACAGATCCTCATGAAGTTTGCTGTTGGGGTTCTCTCTTACAAAAAAAGGGCTAGTCAACGTGCGCTGCCCGTGTTTAACCGCTGTGTGCAGGACTTGTCGGTCTGTCAGTGTGAGTGGCCTGTGGCCCGTCCGTGTGTGGTTTGGTAAACCCGCTGTGTCCGGACCAACGTGCATCTCCGGGGTGTTTCTGGGGTGTGTCCGGGGCCGTGTGATGCGTTGGTTGCAGTCGTGGGCATTGCAATGTCTGATACCTTGCCAACAGGTTTGACTGATTAGATCTGTTGTCGAGTTCCCATGGCTTTTGGTAGTACTCACGTTGCAAGTGGAGGTTGGCTGCCACTGCTTGCATTGAAAGTGTTTAAGATCGTGATGAAGGAAAAGGGAAGCACAGGTCACGTTGCTAACGCTTCTCAAAGAGACAAAATAACAGGAACAAAGGGTTTCCGACCATTGAATGCTTTGGCGCTGGCGCAGTTGAAGCTCAAAAGACTCGTGGCGACAATTCGCCCCAGCAGTGCAGTTCCGCCACGTGCCAAGCGTACAGTGAATGTGGAGGGCTGGGCAGACTTTCCAGGACTACCTGTAGGACCAGCTTTGGTTGACCGCGAGGTGACTGTGAGCAGATCATGATCAGACCAAATTCAGAGAGTTTTGGAAGTGTTTGGTGATTGTTCAGTTTCTTTTTTTCAATGCGCGTTTGCCTGCAGGTCAGCTTTAGAACCCAGCCTTCTATGAGGCAAGTGCGCGAACAACTGCTGGATTGCTGGCAAAGATCCAGCTGCTTGCAGGAGACCGTGGACGTGGCATTTCTTGATGAATTCACGCGAGCATTTTGTAGGACTGTCAGAAAGTGATATCCCGCGACTTTGCCTTCCTCTGTCTGTGCCTCCAACCAACAGACGAGAGTTGGATACAGATCTTCTCAGAAGCCACTGTGGATATGTGTTCTTTTTTAACCGTCCGCTCAGGAGTCAAGCTCACAGGTCACTGAGTATCACCCCATGGAGGTCAAGAAGACCGACTGCCAGTTTTCAAGGCTTGCATCACTGCATTGCCAAACAGTTTTCTAGAGTCAAGTCTATCCAAAGGGCTTACGCCGAACAGCCGGGCAGTGGCCGCCTTGGGCAGGAGTATAAGCCCAAGAGCCAGAAGCTAACGAAGAACATTTTTTCAATTTTTTTCCGAGTTCACATCCAAAGTTCTAGTTTTATCATCATCATCATCTTCTTCTTCTTCTTCTTCTTGCTCGTTTTCTTCTTGTTCTTCTTGTTCTTACCGTTCTTCTTGCTAACTACAACCACAACAAAACTACAACACAAATAATGCCAGGTTGCCATCCCGGCCCGGGCAGCATATTTGGCACCATGGCCAGCTTGAACCAGCCTTGACAACTAGACCGACCCCCCTGAAGCATTTTCACAGAACGATATATTGCTCGGATTTAAGGGCTTACGCCAAACAGGCCGCTTGCAAACAGTTTATGTGCCTGTATGCAAATCCGCACTTGCAAACCATGTCGAAAAGAATTCCACACACTTATTTGTGAAGGCCTTCAAGATGCTAGCAATGCAGTGGGGCATGACATGCATAATCGGCACTATTGTCAATTGTAGTTTACTTGTGCTATGTTGTGCCGGCGGGTGCTCCACAAGCCGCCAACTTCCGCCTAGACGCCTAAATGCATCACTCAAAGAATACCACACCATGTCGCTCGATTTCCAGAGATGGTGCTTGCGAACTCCTCGAACCGTGACAGCACTGTCAAAAAAATGCAGACAAACGCACACCTTTTCAATTTTTGCTCCAGCATCTTTCTGCGCACGTCCTCCTCTGCAAACCCCTCAAGGCAGGATTGCGCCATCTATTTCTATGCCTTGCGAATTGCAGGCGCACACTCGGGAAAATGCGTACTCCGATTTGCCAACCCAAGTAAGAAGACCCAAGAAGTCAGGAATGATAGTGCTCCTTGCACATATTTGCAAACACTTCTTGAACGTATTCACAAGCACTTGTACGTATTCACAAGCACTGCTTCTTGAACATATTCACAAGCTTAGAGGTAGGTAACCACCAAATTAGTTTAAGCAGGTACGTTTCCTGCGCCCCTGCTTTTTGGGAGAAGCTAACCAGCGACCCTTGATTCCAGGGTGTACACACTGCCACACGCCAGCCTAGGTTACCATTTCCTAAGAGTACAAGTAAGTAAGAACCAACGGATCCTGGGGGTCTTCAAAAGGAAAAGGGGCCAAAGGCTCAAGTCGAAATCGGACCGGCAGGTGACGGCGTGGCGTACACATCTGCAGAACTCATTAGACCTTTACGAAATCTTAAAATTCGAGCAGGTACACAGAGCTGATCAGGCTCTGCTTCCAGCACAAGTGGATAGCTTCGTGGGGTGCAGTTTCCACTGTGCTCTGCACCCACCTGCTCTGAATGAAGAAAGCTCAGTGTACAACTCAAAAGGGGCACACTCATGGAAATGCGTACTGACTTGATAGCGGTGCCACACGCCGGCCTAGGGTTCCAATTCCTAAGGTTACAGGTAGGGAACCAGCGAATCCTGGGGGTCTTCAAACGGAGAAGTGGCCCAAAGAGGAAGAAACCGAACGACGAACGGGAATCGAACAGGTTGACGGCGGTCCGCTCACATCTGCAGATGCACTAGCCCTTGACAAAAGACAAGGAAGAAAGGTGGCCACCAGCTGCGTCTTATAATGCGCCCAGGTGCACCAAGCAGGTACGTTTTCACGACAGCTTGGATGGGTCTTCGTTGGCCGCCACGTCATCCAAGTGTCCATGGGCCCCCTGCTGTAAAATGAAAAGACAAAAGCCAAACCGAAAACAATCCGAAAGGATCCCTATGATTCCAAGGGTTACACACACACACACACGCCTCCCCGAGGGGAGACGAAAATCTAAGGTAAGGGCCAATGTGCACGTGTGCGCGCACAAGACAAAAGAATGAAGACATGACAGGAGGACAAGACGGGACAAAGGTGCGTGTGGTTGAAATGAAAGGGGAACCAAGTGCACAGGGACACCCGATGAAGCCCACCTCATTGTAAAGACCTGGGCGACCTGAAGCCTGTGTTTAAAGGTATGTAAAGTGCACGTACACACTAAGGCCGGGACCAATGTGCACGCAAACGAAGAAAAGGATGAGATGACCAGACATGAAGACAGGAGGACATGAAAGAAAAGAGGAAACAAAAGTATGTGAAGGGGAAGGGATGAAAGGGAAACCAAATGGAGGGGACAAGAACCAATGAAGCCAAACCTCATTAGAAACACCTAGGGACATGCCTCGTTTGAGTGTGAGCGCTGTGTGTGCACCTGAGGTTGGGACAGGTTCCAATGAACCTTGAACAAACTTCGGTCGCTGCGACCACGTACGGCTTGCCCGAGGGCTGCCACCTCTGACCGCTCCGGTCACGTAAAGGCATAAGCCAACTTGGAATTCCAAAGATGGGACAAAAATCATCGGACGTACGGCCTAGGCCACCTACGCTCGCTGCGAGCTGCTCTGTATCCGGGCAGTGGATACGTTCGACAAACCCCCGTTCGACGGGTCCACGGGAGGCACTCTGCGGGCTCATCCCGGGTTGGCGCGTGGCCAAACACACTCATGGAAATGCGTACTGACTTGATAGCGGTGCCACACGCCGGCCTAGGGTTCCAATTCCTAAGGTTACAGGTAGGGAACCAGCGAATCCTGGGGGTCTTCAAACGGAGAAGTGGCCCAAAGAGGAAGAAACCGAACGACGAATGGGAATCGAACAGGTTGACGGCGGTCCGCTCACATCTGCAGATGCACTAGCCCTTGACAAAAGACAAGGAAGAAAGGTGGCCACCAGCTGCGTCTTATAATGCGCCCAGGTGCACCAAGCAGGTACGTTTTCACGACAGCTTGGATGGGTCTTCGTTGGCCCATGCCATCCAAGTGTCCATGGGCCCCCTGCTGTAACATGAAAAGACAAAAGCCAAACCGAAAACAATCCGAAAGGATCCCTATGATTCCAAGGGTGTATACACACACGCACACACACACGCCTCCCCGAGGGGAGGCAATTTTAAACTCCAAGCCGGCGGGTTATGTGAGACTAGCGAAACTGACGGATTTCTCTGTGAGTTTGATAGGCAGTCAGGGGAAGTCGAAGTTGACAGATAGCATCATCGTGTAGTCGGGCAGCGATAGTATGTAGAGGTCGTTGGGGAAGGGGGTTTCCTCCCGTGAACATTCATGTGGTGGGCCAAGAACACGGAGACGTCGAGAGTTGATGTAATAGAGGACAAGATCCTCGAGGGTGCAGGTGTGTGGTACTTCCCAAACCCGAGAGTCGCCGGTGGACGGAAGGGCTATCCAGAAGCTGTGGCGTTGTAGACTTGTGCGAGAATAGATCACATCCTTAAGGTCATCCACTGTGTATTCTTTGGTTTCAAGCTGGGCTGTGGCAAGAGTCACAGTGATGTAGTTCAACGGTTGGTAAACAAGTAAGCTGACGTCCAACTCAAACCTGACAGTGGCGAGGTAAGGTATTAGATCAAGGCTTTGGAAGGGTTGGCGGAAATCGCGCCAATCCGTGGGAATCAGTTGGGTCAGCGGTTCCGGAACTCGAAGTCAGGGGAGGAGATCATCATGGAGCAGGATCAACGAATCGGGTGGGGCAGCTCAAATGGCTGCGGTGGTCAACTGAAAGAAGGAAATCAAAAATCAACTAGACGACGGTTGGCCCGAGAGCGAGACATGTAATTGTCCAGCACTGTCGAAAAGATGTATGGAAAGAGAGAAAGAAAGGGTGGATGTGAAGGAGTGACAGTGTGATGTGCAGGTGCGATATAGATCTGTAGATGTATGGAGGTGGGGAGGTAGATCTGTGGATGTGAGCGTGCGAAGATGTAAATGCACAGAGACGAGAGAAAAGATATGTAGAAAGAAAGAAAGACAAGACAGATGTGAAGGAGCGACAGTGTGGATGTACAGATGTGATATAGATGTGCAGATGTGTGGGTGTGGTGAGGTGGAGAGGTAGATCTGTGGATGTGAGCGTGTGAAGATGTAAATGTAGAGAGGTGAGGGGTCGATGATGTAGTCCCTCTGGTGCAGGTTATTATAGCCATCAGCAGTACGGAGCACTTGGAGCTGACAGAACTTCAGGCTTACCGACCATTCCCAAATGCTCTCCACCTTTCGGGTCCAACTGCAACGAGGTCATCCACATAGGTGCCCAATAGGCCTTCACATTGTCCTCAGAGCCCACCACATTTCGAGCTCTTCTCAGGCACTGGTTGCGGTGGCGTGTCCAATCTTCAGGAGATTCTCTCAAGCCGTGCAGCGCTCCTTCTGCCGCCCACATAGTTCCAGGCGGGACGATCCCCAACTGCGCAACTAACTGAGGTGGCTTCACCAACGTCACACGATGCGCTGCACTTCGTTTCGGTGCTTGGAGAAATGCGCTCTTGATGTCAGTCGAGCCGCGCGCCCAACCCCTCTGGCTGGCAACCATCATCAGCACCCTCAGCGCAACAGCATCAGTGCCACCCGTTGAGGTCGTGACCGCCTCGTCAGGCGTGCCAAAGTTGCCACATCCAACTACCCTTGCCTTTCGCCTTCCACATGGCGCTTGTTCTTTTTCTTCCATGATCTGTTTGTTGCCCACCAGGTAAGTTTGAAGGGCCTCAGCTTCCTGTGGAACCGCTTCCTTCTCCCGCGTTGCCACTATCTTCATAATGTGGGCAAGTTCCTGCTGGTTGTCGTGCACCTGACGGTCAAGCCACGTAGCATCCCTCCTTAATTGTTTGACGCAGGTTTCAGCTTGGCTGTCATTCGAGATGCTCATTGCGACCTTGTCCACGATCACCTGCTGATCTCCTTTGCAATGCCCTTGATGCCCTCCAGGATCGTCTTCTCTACCAGATCTTTTTGGGTGGGTGTTTCACACATCTTGCGCTCCATCTCCTTGCTCATCCGGCGTAATGCAGACCATGAGCTGGCTGCTTGCCATGGAGTCGATAGCGGGTGTCCACCAGGTCTTCTTC